CCTCCAATCTTTGCCTGACTGTGCTTTGGGAGGACACTAAGTGGTGGGGAAACTTAGTAAACAATGAATAATCTAGCAGCACCTTAGAGACTAACAAAACATGGAGATGGGATCATGAGCTTTCGTGGGCACAGTCCATTTCTTCGGATGCCTGGAGTATTAAAAGTCCAGATCCAAGAATAAATAAGGGAAGGTGGAGAGGAGGGGGGAGGGGAAAAAGAGAGAGAAATAGTGAATTAGATGGTTCAAGTTACACAAAGCTACTAAGAACAATTTGCACCTCTATAAGTCATTAGGATGCGGAAGGTAGTGTGCGAGCCAGTGGATATTTTTATTCATTCCTCTCTGATAGGAATCAGACTTGTAAATGAAGTTAAATTCCAGCCCTTCCCTGTGTATTTGGCTTGTGGAATTGGTCTGAAACAACAGGGTGACTCTGAGATCCATTAATAAGTGCCCAGGCAGGTTAAAGTGTTCTCCAACAGGTTTTTGTTAAGTGGCGGGATTAGGGTTGGGGGCCCTTCCATCTGAAAGTCCAGTGCAACGGCCAGGTTCCCTAAGGCTACTGTTCTCGCTGGTGGTCAGCTCATCCCCCTCCACCGTGCCTTGGGAGGATGGCACATGAATGCAGAAGCCTCCTGGAAGGACTAGCTTGCCAGTGCCCCTGCCATGTCCCACAGGGAATCTTCGGCAGCGCGCGCACACACACACACACACACACACACACACACACACACACACACAGTCTCTCTCTCTCTCTCTCTCTCAGTAGCCACCAGCTCACATACAGTCTCTCTCTCAGTAGCTCCCAGCTCCACCCCTTCTGCCACAGACCTGCCTTTTCCGGGTGCCTGGAGCCAGCCCATGACCATGTACCAACATTCATGAAGTGGCTCACCGCGCTGGACTAGAGAGACAGGCCTGAAACAAGTTTCTTCAGCAAGGAGATAGGATCTTATCCTAGCTTTATCCTAGCTCTTACCCCAGCAGATAGGATCTTATCCAAGCTTTCTGCTAAGCGCCGCTAGCACAGCCGCCACAGAAACATTGACGTGACTGTAAAATGACGGTAGATAAAAACTTTCAACAGAAGACGGTTTGCACGGACTCTCCAAAAGAAAAGACCAAATGGTGTTTAAATGAGCGGTGCATCTTTTGCGGAGGCCGCGTAGACACACATTGAGGATGGATCCTGCTGCAAAGGACACGAGAAAATGGTCTGAAGGCACATCCTGTCCTTAAAACATGTCACTGCCTCAAAGAATCACTCCTCCGCAGGGCACTGCATTCATCTTCGCCTGCAGAAAGTGTTTCGGAGGTGCGGGAAGCAGAGTGCCCGCAGCAACTGCCTGAGGGGACGAGCCCTGCCGTGGGCTGCAGACGCATGCAGTGGAGTTTTTGGTACAACGGAGCGTTTGAAATGTCTCCCCCTCTTTCCTGTAATCCAAGCGATTGTGCGAAGGACTCCTGCCTGCGTGGCAGCATCATGGCTAAAACTGCCAGCTAGATGAGAGGGACTCACTTCAGGACAGAACCGAGGGTCAAGAGGCCACAATTGCTGCTTTGCTAGCCAAAAGAAATGTCATCGTCACTGCACTGCGACGGAACCAACAGGGAAACATTGCGCAGCGCTTCGGCAAGTTACCGCCTTTCCCCCTGAGCCTGGCCACCCCACAGAACTTTCTCCCTGGGTCTTTGGGAGATTTCTGATGTTCTTGCTGAGGGGTGTTCCCGGGAGACGGTCTGCAGCAACATCTTGGGGACCTGCTAGCCCAAGACAGCTGTGGGCTCGGGCAAAGCTCACACTGGAATTAATGGCAGCTTTGCCTGAGGAAGGATGGAACCTGTGGTCCCTTTATGTTCAGTGTCAGTCGTTCTGGCCCCCCTCGAGGAGAGAGCGGTATGTCCCTCACATCTCTCGGCTCCCACCTCCCCATCCCACTTTCTCCTGGTTTCCTTCCTTGTCTTTGTCTTTCCCATTCTGCTGTCCAGTTGCTCTGACGATCCACCTCCCGTTGTTCCCCACACTTAAATCCCCGGGTTTCTCCAGATCGGCTTCTCTCCCATCTGTGTTCGCTGGACTCTTCTCTATCTTTTACCTCAGCTTGTCTCCTTATACTGCTCCCCTGGCTCAGGCCCTCTCTCCAACTCGCTTCTCTCGCTCCCTCGACCCGGGGGGCTTGTCGCCTGCCGTATTCCCCCTGTGGGCACTCTCGCTTCTTGGCAATCTCTACTTCGTATCTAGGAGTGCCTACGTTTCCTCCTCTGAGGTAGCCTGAGATCCCACTCTTGGCTCTCTTTCCCCTTGCTCTCCTCTCCGGAATGTCCCTCTCCCTTTTCCCACCACGGCAGCTCGATGGCCGAGGGGCCATCTTGTCCCTTCCCGGCCCGCTGGAGTGGCAAGGGGGCTAATGCTGGCTTCCATCAGCAGGGCCGGGACGGCCCCCTAGCAACAGGTCGGACGTGCCAGAGCGAGGGGGTTGGAACAATTGGGGGGCTGGGAGGCTGAGAGCCACTCAACCCAACTGCAAACCCGCTTCAAGCCGAGGGTGTGGCAGCCCCCCCTCACCCTCCAGTGCCTGAGGGGTGGCTGACCATAGAGCCCTGAGCTTCCCAAGACCTATCAGTGAGGACATGCCGACAGTTCACACACTTAGCTCTAGGCCTGTCAAAACCCTTCGGGAACCAGTCCTTTCACAGCAGGGGCCAGTGTACTCAGCCTACTCCGAGCTACCCACACACCAGGCAGCAGGGAGGGTCAGTCAGAAATGTGACCGGATTTGTACAGGCATGAGCAGGCCAAAACCAGGGGGTTCGAGGCGAAGCCGTGTGACGACATCACAGCCACTCCTCATGTGGAGGCCACCCTGCCTGTGGCTGCCTGCCTGAGATCGGCGTGCCTGAGGGGGCCAGCTGTTGGTGCAGCGAAAGCGGGTTGTGTCTGCCGGCTTTCAAGTGCCAATAGCCTTGCACTCGGCTTTCAGGAAGCGGCTCTGACTTCAAAGCTGGCTTGGCTGCCTCGTTTCACTCCATCAGGCGCACACACTCCTGCACAAGTCCAGCTCGGCACAGTGAAGGCCCTGGCACACAGCAAGGGAACTTCTTGGAGGGCCCAATTCTGCTCGGTTACACGGGAGCCATCCCAGTAGGGTCAGTGAACCGTGTACGATGCGCAGGGAGCAGAATTCGGCCCCTCGCCTAGCTCAAACAAAGCGCTAATGCAGCCCAGGAAGCGAAGTGCTCGGATACGTAGCACTACCCATGGCGACCAGCAGGGGAGCTACGGAGCAGTGGCTGGAACCTAGAACTGCCCCGCGCTTGGGGTAAAGGGGGCAGATGCTCACCCCCACGCCCTCGGGGCGAATCAAGCCCTGCTCTGTCTTTCTGCGGAATCAGGCTCACAGAGCGAGCGTGCGGCTGTGCAGAACAACCCACCCGAGGAGCACGTGGCCCGTGGAGGGCGCGACGTCCTGCTGTGCGCTATCATGCAGCACACCACACAGTGGGAACTTCCTCCCAGCAACCACGGCAGGTGTCACGAGGAGGTTTGGCCACGCCCGGGTGTGGAGAGACGCACGGCCAGCCTCGGAGTTTCATGTTCCTCTTGCGATCTGCTGTCAGCATTTCTGGGCTCAGCTGAGCGAGGCTGGCTCTGGCATGAGGAGCAGGGCGGGCTGGAGTTCTGCGTGCTGCTGGAGTTCTAGCTGGAACGTCTCTCACGAGTCCTATGCCTCCGTTGGGCGCAGGGCAGAGGAGGGCGGCAGTTAAGTTAAAGGCATGAGCACACAAGCTCTTTGGGGGCCAGTAGCCTTGGGAGTGGATGGTTCCCTACAGAAAGGACTGTGGTTTTACTTCCAACGTTCCTAAACGTCGCAGGCCCCGCGCTAGGTTTTCCAGCTGGCTGAGTGCCAAGCATTGTGAGCCGAGACCGCATGCACCCCTGGGGATTCAAACCGGTCCCAGTTTGCTCCAAACGCTTTCCCCACACTTCCCGCCATGGCCATCCTTTGTCCCCGCTGCTTCCCCCTCGGCACGGCAGGGGGGGGCGACATGTGGGCGTCCCCCACCCAGTGGGGCGGGAACACGTGTAAGAGTGGGGCTGCTCACAACCCCACCCTTACCCTGTCCCCTCACCCCCAGTGGAGGCCGGGAGCAAAGCTCTGACATGTGGCGCAGCAGCCAGGACCTGGGGCGCCGGACTGCAGCTCCCCCAGTACCCGGGCCTCTGCTCCGCCCTGTCTGAGGCGCCCGGCCCCCCTCCCCGCCATGGCCATCCTTTGTCCCCGCTGCTTCCCCCTCGGCACGGCAGGAGACGGCGACATGTGGGCGTCCCCCACCCAGTGGGGCGGGAACACGTGTAAGAGTGGGGCTGCTCATGTGTGTGTGTGAGAGAGAGAGAGATCAGTTTGCTACCCTTTCCATGCTCTGTGTGTGTGGTGTTAGCTTGCTGCCCTTGCCGTGTGTGTGTTTGGTCAGTGTGCTGCCTTTGCCATGCGCGCCCATGCTCTCTCTGTGTGGTCAACTTGCTGCCCTTGCCATGCTGTGTGTGTGTGGTCAGCTTGCTACCCTTGCTATACTGTGTGCAAAGCAACCACAGCGTGTGGTGGTGCACATGCCTCTGTGCCCATAACAAAATTTATTCCACACTTGGATCGAAAAAGTTGGGGGGAACGTTGCTGTCAGCAGGCAGGGTCCTGGGCATGGTAGCTTTGGCAGTTCTTACATTTAACACGTCCCATCTTTTAACTGCTATGCAGTAACATGCCACCCATGTGCAGGTCCCTGCACACAAACCAGCCGCAAGGAGGTTGGACTTGAAAAGGCTTTAAGGGTTTGGGGCGGGGGACTGCAGCTCCCCCAGTACCCGGGCCTCTGCTCCGCCCTGTCTGAGGCGCCC